TACTCATGAAATCATTCTTACGATCAGAATAGTGAACATATCCAGTACCTCCAAAAGTATTTTTGTGCCTCTTTGTTTTCCCTATTTTCTGCCCCTCCCCAAGGAACCCTCTCATTTCCAGCTAGCCACCAGATTGCTTTCTGTTACTATAGATTAGTTTGTATTTTCTAGGATTTCTTATTAATGAAATCATACAGAAGATAGTTTCTCTTAGGTATAGTTTCTTCCAGCTTAATTTCTTTCACTCAGCTTAATTATTTTTGAGTTCTGAAACTCAACATCATGTTGTGTGTACATCAGTAGTACTTTTCTTTTTATATCACAAATTGTTTTTATCCATTCACTTCTTTTTGTAAAATATTTTTTTAGTTGTTGATGGACCTTTATGTTTTTCATTTATTTATATGAGGTGCTGAGAATGAAACCCAGTGCCTCACACATGCTAGGCAAGTGCTCTACCACTGAGGCACAACCCCAGCCTTTATCCATTCACTTCTTGATGGACAGTTTTTGACTATTAATTTTCTCCAGGCTGTGGTCTGTCTTTTCATTCTTTTTTCTCTTTCTTTGGTCCTGGAAGTTGAACCCAGAACCTCATGCATGCTAGACAAGTACCTATCACTGAGCTATAAACCCACAGCCCATTTTCATTCTCTTCAGTATTTTTTAAAATATTTTTTAGTTGTCAATGTACCTTTATTTCATTTATTTACTTATATGTGGTGCTGAGAATCAAACCCAAGGCCTCACACATTCTAGGCAAGCACTCTACCTCTGAGCCACAATCCCAGCCCCTCTTTTTAGTATCTTTTGAGGAGGAAATTTTAAAATTTTTCATGTAGTACAATTAATTTTGGTTTTCTAAGAAATACTTGTCTAACCAAGTTTCCAGAGATTTTTCTCTTATTTTGTATAAAAGTTTTATGGTTTTATACTTAGATTGAGGAGACTTTGAGTTAATTTTTACTGATACAAAATATGCAAAAGAAAAATTTTTTCTTTTTTTATTATTAGTTGTTCAAAACATTACATAGCTCTTGACATATCATATTTCATACACTTGATTCAAGTGGGTTATGAACTCCCATTTTTACCCCTTATACAGATTGCAGAATCACATCAGTTACACATCCATGTTTTTACATACTGCCATACTAGTGTTTGTTGTATTCTGCTGCCTTTCCTATCCTCTACTATCCCTCCTCCAAAAATTTTTTATTTATTTTTTCCCTTTGTTTTTGCATATGAAATCCATTTGTTAAAAGAATTCTTTCTCCATTTTCTGCACTTATGTAAAAAAATCAATTTTTCCATATGTATGTCTATTTCTGGACTCTATTCTATCCCATTGATCTACTTTACACCAATATTACATTGTCTTTATTATTGTAGCTTTATAGTAAGTCTTAACATCAGATAGTATTAGCCCTTCCACTTTTTTTTTCAAAGTTGTTTTAACTACTGTAGATCCTTTGCATTTCCCTATGAAGTTTATAAAATAAAACCAAGCCAGGCAGGTGGCACACACTTGTAATCCCAGAGGCTTGGGAGGCTGAGGTAGGAGGAGCTCAAAGCCAGCCACAGCAATTTAGCAAGGCATTAAGCAGCTCAGTGAGACCCTCTCTCTAAAGTAAATACTTAAGAGGGCTGGAATGTGGCTCAGTGGTTAAGTGCTTCTGAGTTTAATACCCTGTACCAAAAAATAAAAAATAAAATAAAACCAAAATAAAATAAAGAAAATTAAAACTACTGGGATATTGTGATTATGTTGAACATATACATAGATTTCAAAGTTTTTATGTTATTGTAAAGGTATTATTGATTTTAAAATATTGATTTTTTTTAACTCTTCATAGTTGGTACATAGGCATAGAATTAATTTTGGTATATTGATCTTGTGTCCTGAAAACTTGTTGTTATGGGCTGTTGTAGTTCTAATGCCCAGCACCTCAGAATGTGACTGTATTTGGAAACAGCATCTTTACAATGGCAATTAAGATTAAATGAGATGATCAGCGTAGACCCTAATCCAATATGATTGTATCCTAAAAGAAGAGGTTATAAAGTAAAGATGTACAGAGGAAGGCCATAAGAAGATACAGGGAAAAAATGGTCATTGAAAAGCCAAGGAGAGTATTGGTTGCGTGTCTCAACATGCACACGGCCCTGGGTTCAATCCCCAGCACCACAAAAACACACACAAAAAAAAAAAAATCCAGAGAGAGAGGCGTTAAAATATATGAACCCCAGCACTACCTTAACTCCATATTTTCTGTCTCTGGAACTGTGAGAAAATAAATTTTGTTGTTTAAGTCACCCAGTGTGTGTTACTTTCTTATGGCAGCCCTCGAAAAACAAATCATTGCTAAACTTACTAATTTTAGTAGTTTTTTTTAAAGATTTCATGGGATTTTCTATATAGACAATTATATCATCTAAACACAATTTTACGTCTTCCTTTCCAGTTTGGAATCCTTGTATCTCTTTTTCTTTTCTGATTATACTGGCTAGGACTTCAAGTACAATGTTGAATAAAAGAGGCAAGAGCAGATGTTCTAACCTTGTTCCTGATCTTAGAGAGTGTTTAATCCTTCATTTTTAAGTATGATGTTGACTGTAGGTTTTTCTAGATGCTTTTTACAATTAAGTATGTAATCTCAATTTCATAGCTTTGATATATAAAATTCCATTCCCAAAGTAGGCACATGGAGAGAACCTAAAACATTAGTGAAAACTTTCCTACAGTTGTAGATAACTAGTATAGGGAAAAGTTGTGACAAGCAAGGATTCTGGACCCAGGCTGCACAGGCTCAAGTCCTGGTTTTGCCACTTACCAAAGCTGCAGGATGTGGGAGACAAATGGCTCACCTCTTTGTACTTTTATTTATTCCTCTGTAAAATGAGGTTTGTAGTAATACCTACCTGATAGTTGTTAAGGGAATAAAAATGTGCAAATATTGATAGTGTGCCTAGAACAGTGTCTGTCAAATAATAAGCAGTATATAAAAATGTTTGTGTTCATTTAAAATCACGGAAGACAACTTGCATCCTGCAGGATGCAAGCCCACCTGCTGGCTTCCAAACATGGGTTTTGCTCCATCTTTCTCTCATCCCTTGCTGCTCTTGGTGGCACAATTAGAATTTCAAACTGGTAGAATTACCATCAAGTCCTACCTCCATACAAGGCAGAAATCCCTTGTCACACCTGACAGCTGCTGGCTGTTCTGACTAAGAATTCTTCATGCTGAGTGTACATTCAGGAAGCCTGAGTTTTTCAAGTAGACAAGCCTGAAGATGTCTGACTGTGAGGTGACAATGATTGGGAAATTTAACTGTCCAGGGGTTGGGAAGCAAAGTTTCTGTGCCTCTTGTATATGTTGCTAGGTCCTTTGGTTGCTTCTACCATGACACCTGACATAGGTATTAAGTTAGCCTCTCATAGGATAACAGTCCCTCAGACTGAACTCCAATAAGTGGGTATCCTGGAATCTGAAAACTCCTTTTTGTTATCATTAGAGAGCAAAATTAGGAAAAAATGATAGGGCAAGCTTCTCTTAGGAACTTCCCAGATCTTAAGTTAACACCTAAATAAACTCAGGGCTCTTTCTTTAGCCCCACCGAGGGTGGGAGGGGAATTAGATTCAATCCTTTCATGGCATGTTTTTAAAAATTAGGAGGGATTCAACAGTCTCTGATTTCCTAAGAATCCTTGGCTAGAAGATTTCATGGTTTCAGCATTGCCATGAATCTTTTCCTGATTGAGCAGCAGGTTGCTTTGCTCACTTAAACAGCATTGTTACATAAACAAGTAGCAGATCTGTTTGCTCCAAGCAAAGTCAAAATTTCCATCTGAATTTTAGTTAATCAGAATATAAGGACCGATTCAGGCTTTGGATTTTTAAATTTCCTTGCAGCTGTGTTTCCCTGTTTCCACTAAATGCTGTAGTTTAAGATTTAGAGAATTATGGAAAACACACTTGCAGTGCCAGGGCCTAATCAGGGTTGGATACCTTTCCCAATAATGTTGGCTGGCAGTTCCTTCCCCTCCTTTGGCTGATGGTGGGGCAGAGATCTCTTGAAAATAATTCAGTCCTATAAGAGACTATGCAAGGGGTTTTCAGACATTGCTTAGGCCTGCTTAATTCCAGGACTATGCATTTTCTTAAAATAACCTTGAGAATTAAAGTGCAAAAGTATGCAAATATCCCATTTACTGTGTGCATCTATAGATAAAAGTGCAACATAAAGGCGAGTTTACACATCTAACAATTGCACTGCAAAGCCTTTACAGTTCACAGCCCAACCAATCTTCCAAAATACTACTGTGGTGCACTTAAAATCTGCAACTTTGCAAGGAGGTGCCCACAAAGTACCTTCTTTTGCATTTGCATATTTGTGTACAAGAACACAAACCGTTTAGACAAGCTTTTAGTCCATTTTAAATGCCAAAAAGATCCTCAGGAGCTGCTTTGTTTAGAACACACACTCAATACTTTATTAAAAACATTTTTTCAAAAGTAGTTTCATAAAGCTAGCCATCAGCAAGCCTTGATAGAGGGGTGGAAAATGAATCGTATATCTTTAACCAGCAGAAGTCAAAAGGCTTTTTTTTTTTTTTTTGGTTAGCTAACAATGGAAACTTTTTTTTTTAAGTGTTTCCCTCCCTCGGTCTTGCCAAGCAATAGAAAAAAAAAAAAAAAAAAGAAAAGAAAAACTTGTTCCGCTGAGTTCAACCCCAGACGGGCTCACAACTTCCTTCCTGCTTTCCTCCCCCTAGCCCCCGCCTTCTGCCTCCTCCCCCCACCCCCGCCACCAACTTTTTTTTTTTTTTTTTTTAATCTTACATTGAACAAACACTGAAGTAGCCCGGAGCAGACACTGACAGGGGTAGTATCTCCACCGCGGAGAAGGGCGTGCAGGGCCGGCCTGGCGTCGCCACCGCCGGGATAGCCTGGCCCCTGCGCGGCGGACCTCCCCCAACCCCTCGCTCTTTCGCACTCTTTTTTTTTTTTTTTTGTCTTCCATAGATTGTTGAGGAAATCATTTCTGAGCATTTCTGCTTTAAATGCATCTCGACCCTACTTGGGTCGGCGTGTAGTCCACACAGGACCCGAGAATCTGAGAAATTGCAGGTAAGCTTGGCGGCTCTTCAATGGCTCTGGCCTCTGAGCCCTCTCTCCCTTCACTACGCTCTGGAGCGGATCTGCCATTCCGGGTTCTGAAACTGCGAAAAGGGGTGCGTTAGGGAGACGGTGACGAGGTTTTGATTTTTGGAGGGAGGCGTTGGAGTGGGACCTGGGGCCGGAGAAGGAGAGACGAATTTTCGGCGTTTCTTCAGCCCGCCTTCCGGGCTCTCTCTCCGCGCCGCCTCCCCCGGCGTGCTGCAGAGCACCGGGGCTTGGGCCGCCGGGAGGCTCGGCTGGCGGCGGGCGAGGCTGCCCGGGATGAGCAGAGGCCCAGCCCTCCGCTGCACGGCTCCCGGGGCTTAGATCGCCGCCCTTAGATTGCCTTCCTCGGGGTTTGCGCACCTAGTCACCCGTCTGCAGCGACGCAAACCCCGGAGTTCCTTGGAGGGGCGCGGGTCCTGAAGCCCGCAGGCACATCGCGTCCTCGGTAACCGGGCGCGCGGAGGGTTGAGTAGCTGTGCGCGCGCGTACACACACACACACACACACACACACACACACACACACACACACACACACCACCGCGGGGGGCGGCAACTAGAGGGGCGGTGAGTATTGGTTCCGGTACAATATACTGCAGAGTCCCCATCCCGGGCGTGCGCAGGCGCGCCCCACACTCAAAAAACACTTGTTTGGGGACAGGCGACAAGGCCAGTGCTGAAAATGCTTGGGCTGCAGCCGGGCAGTTCTCTCAGGCCTTAGTAGGCCGAGAGACACAGCCCCAAGTCCAGGGTCAGGGTCAGGAAGGTAAACGGCGGGTACGCAGGCGCCCTCCAGATCCGGGCGCTGGCAGCTATTTGGGGAAGGCAGGTCTTGCTCAGGTTCCCCTGACTCGGTCTCTGATGTCCCGAGAGGGTGGAGCAGGGCTGCGCCGTTACCCTCGATAGCCAGTGGTTGCTCAGGCCGAGTGTGACGGGTCAGCGGCGCTCCGCGCACAGCACCCTTGGGGACCAAGTAGTTGCACATCCTCCCTCGCCCATCCTCATGGCTTCAAGACTAATCTTAGAATTTGGAATTTGAAAGGAGTTCAAAGCCGGTCCAAACCCTAGAGTAGGGGGGCGGGTTAAGCACACCGGGGAAACGCGTACCCAAACCGCGCTGACTCTGAGGGAGCCGGGCATGGGTTCCCCCGGAGCCTCGTAGTCCCTATAGGTGAGACGTCCTATGGCACCCGGTCCCGAACAGATTGGGGTCCTAGGGCTCCCTCTGGGCTTTGCCGGCGGGCTCTCCCCACCCTCTCCTCCGCGCCCTCTGGGGTCCTGACTTTTCTCCTTGTGTCTCCACAGAAGCGCGGTTGTTTATGGAGCTTTGGGCGGGGGCCGAGCCCGCAGTTGTGCCCCCAGCCCGCCGCCGAGGCCATGCAGCCCCATCGGCGAGAGGAGCTGCTGCCGCCGGACCTCCGGGGCTGATCCAGGAGCCGCGGGAGGAGGAGGCGCCAGCGGCGGAGCTGGAACCCGAGTCGCGGAGGCAGGCAGCGCGGCGGACCCAGTACTATGGCTGTGTACTGCTATGCACTCAATAGCCTGGTGATCATGAATAGTGCCGACGAGGTGAAGAGCGGCGGCGGCCCGGGGCCCAGCGGCAGCGAGACGCCCCTGCCCCCTGGGAGGGCTGTGCTTAGCCCGGGCAGCGTTTTCAGCCCCGGGAGAGGGGCTTCTTTCCTCTTCCCCCCCGCCGAGTCGCTGTCGCCAGAGGAGCCCCGGAGCCCCGGGAGCTGGCGGAGCGGCCGGCGCAGGCTGAATAGTAGCAGCGGCAGCGGCGGCGGCAGCTGTAGCAGCAGCAGCAGCAGTAGCGTGGGCAGCCCTAGTTGGGCGGGCCGCCTGCGAGGTGATGGGCAGCAGGTGGTGGCCGCCGGTACCCTTTCTCCGCCGGGACCGGAGGAGGCCCAAAGGAAGCTGCGAATTCTGCAACGCGAATTGCAGAACGTGCAGGTGAACCAGAAAGTGGGCATTTTCGAGGCGCACATTCAGGCGCAGAGCTGTGCCATTCAGGCACCCCGAAGCCCACGTTTGAGCAGGGCTCGCTCGCCCTCCCCGAGCCCTTTCCGCAGCAGCAGCCAGCCCCCTGGAAGGGTCTTGGCTCAATGTGTCCCAAGTGAGGAACGAAGGACAAAATCTTGGGGGGAGCAATATTCAGAGGCTTCAGATGCCCACTCTGTGAGAAGAGGAGGGCTCAGTCTGTGCCCCTCAAAGGACAAGGAGGGAGTGGCACTTCTTCCTGGCCAGGCCACCACGAAAGGATCTGGGGCTCAGAGTGCAAAGGATTCCGTGAAGATGGAGAAAGGGACCCCTGCTAGTACCCCTTGTGACTCATTTTTAGCTATGGAAACTAACAAGAGGGTCGCTTCTTCTTCGGGAATTCAGAGCTGCCAAACTCCCCCAGAGGAGCTGGTGGGAACGAGTTTAATGATGAACACAGCAGTGACTGCAACAGCCTCATCCACTGGACCACACCGTCCACACGATCCTGCTCTGGTTGAGCCAGCCTGCAAGCTTGGAAGCCTGCACCCCTGGGAGGCCCTGGTTGAGAGGCAGGGGCAGTTCCTGGGCAGTGAGAGAAGCCCAACCCCAGAGCAGAGCGGGTCCCTAGGTGGAGAGCCCCCTGGGAAGTTGGGGAAGGGAAATCTGCCCTGTGTCCTGCCAGGCTCCAGAGAGCCAGAAGTCGGTGAAAGGCCAGAGGATGCCACTGTGAATGCTCAAAGCTCAGAGCCATCTGAAGCCCTGAGCTCGTCCAGGCCTTCTGGAGACCTGGGCTCTCTAGGTCCTGCAGAGACCCAAAGTGAGGTCTCAGTGATCCATGAACGCCCGCAGCTCTCTGGCAGAGTGGGGGAAGGGTCTTCAACACTGGGCCTGTTTGGTGTCAGCTGTACAGCGCAGCCAGGGACTGGAGAAGTGGAGGCGGGAATTTCTTCTGGCAAAATGCTGGAGCCTTTGCCCTGTTGGGAAATGGCAAAAGATCTGAAAGAACAGCAGTGCCTTCCTGGGGACAGGGTGGATGTGCAGCCTGGGAGCTCCAGGGCTTGGCTGGGCCCCATGGAGAAAGATGGTCTGGCTTGGACGCGTGGAACAGGGGTACAATCGGAGGGGACTTGGGAAAGTCAGCTGCAGGACAGAGATGCTCACCCCAACAGGGAGTGGCTGCCCCAGAATCAAGAGGACAAACCTTCTCTGGGAGAGACCTGCAGTGCCAGCAACATACCAGCTATACCTGCAGTCATCATTACGGATGTGGGTGCCCAGGAAGACAGGGGCTTGGAGGAGGTGCAGGAAAGCCCTCGGGGCAACCTGCCTCTGAGGAAACTGTCCTCTTCCTCTGCCTCCTCCACGGGCTTCTCTTCTTCCTATGAAGACTCAGAAGAGGACATTTCCAGTGACCCTGAGCGCACCTTGGACCCTAACTCGGCATTCCTGCATACCCTGGACCAGCAGAAGCCCAAAGTGGTAAGTCTTGCCTTGAGATTTTTCTAGAACTCTTGCTACTTTCAGCAGACCTTTGAATCCTTATGTGTCCCCAGTTTTATTACTTTCTAATGAGTAATGACTCTGACCAAGGTCCTGTGTCAGTCACAACTAATATTTCTCTTCAAGTGTCTCTGCTGGGGAATATATAGGCAAGGATTTTATAGATTGGACTGTGAATCTGAGTCACTTCCACAGTTATTTCCATGGACATCTTAAAAAACAAGCTTTTGAGGTACTTCCCATAGAACATCACTCCTCTTGGGAACATAATATTCATGTCATCCAAAACTTCCTGATTAATCCCCAAAGATAGTGAACAGAGCTGCTGAGTGTAGCTTTTGTCTGAATAAGCAAAACATTTAATTCTGTGATTCATTCAGATTGTTAAGGATGCCATCAAATTAACTCAGTACTCACCACTAGGCCAGGAAAATGAGTGATGTGATTCTATGACAGGGCTCTGAAACCTGTAGATGTGGTTGTGGCCCATTTATGTATGAGCAACCTGTGAGCCTTAGTTAGGACAGGACATTGCAATATTAGTGTGGACAGTGTACTAAGGTGTAATTTGATGTATGAATTAAAATGAAAACCATGCTCTGGGCCAAGCAATCAGTTTCTTTAAAAAGTTTTTTTGTTTAGTTGTTTTAAGATTTTTGTTTTTTTAGTTGTCATTTTAATATTTTTAGTGGTTATGTGGTGCTGGGGATTGAGCCCAATGCTAGGCAAGCACTCTACCACTGAGCCACACATGCTAGGCAAGCGCTCTACCACTGAGCCACAACTCCACCCCCCAGACAGTTTCTTTTGTAACAATTTTGTATTAGGTTGAGTTGCTTGAGATAGGCACCTGGGTGGTATCTCCAAAGGCAGGTGGGCTGGAACAGGTTCATTTCAGGTACATTTTCGTGTGTATCTCTTTGGAGTCTCATACAGACATCTTGTTCTGGCAATGGCAGTAGACAAGAATTTATTTCTATTACATGGTTAATCTCAGCTGAAGGCTGTTTTCACTTTCCAGAGGATCAGAATATCTTTCAGAAGACATATGCATTGAAGCTAGCACTTCTGAAAAGGTCTGGCCTTTCTCTTAGCTTTTCCAGAGAGCATGGGGAATTTCCTAGCTCAGGGTGTGAGGGGTTATTGTGCTACTTTGGGTGAAAGGCTGAATGATAGGCGAGCTTCTGATTTCATCTTGAATGCCAAATGCTATTCATTGTACCTCAATAACTTTATTCACCATAACTGGGTGCTTTATATTTCTACTCAGCAGCCTTTACTATGATTTTGGACTCCAAAACATGTTTTTCTCTTACTCCCACCTCAGAAATCACAGTATGAATTTTTGAAGACCAGGAATTTCTTTTCCTGAAACTCTGCCTTCTGCTGATGATCCAGAGGCAAATATATATGCAAACTCTGATCCCAATCAACCTGGAATTTTGTGGCCAGGACAGGTTCCCAGGCATTGTGCACCTGTTGTCAGGTGTGGGTACGTCACTTTTCGGGGGGTGGGGATCCACCTGGAGGGAATGGTGGTAAACTGCAGGTAGAAAATACTTCTTTTTGAAGGTGTGACCCAGATTTCTCTGCCCTCTTGCCCAGCAGTCAGGGCCTAGGGAATAACAGGTGGTCCTCTATCCACTCCTCCCATTTGCTTTTGAAACCCTGAAGCACTGCTGGCACACCCAAAATTGCTTTAACTTGTTCTCCAAGTTTCCATTTGCCCTTTCTAGTGGTGGATTAGCAGCTCTTGTTGGCTGGTTATTGAAATAGTTTATGTGTCCTGATGTGTGAAAAGAGGTCTTGTCTGGAAATAAGTTAAAGAGGAGACAAATAATGACAGGTGATAATTTTTTTCCCCTTTGCCAGAGGGATGCCAACTGAGAAACCAGAGGGATAAGTGGTGTTTTCAAATTAGCTAACAAGTCCAGAGGGAAATGAGGGCGACCTGTTGTCCAAACTACCTCCCACTTTTAAACAGGTTTTCAGACATCCATGGAGTAGAACCAGGGAAAAATTCCCTACCATCTCTGCTCTCTGAATCATTTGAGGCTAATGGGGGCTGGGCAGGGGAGGAGGGAGAGGGGAGAATGTGTGTGCTTTGCAGGGAGGATGGATAACAAAGTGGAAATTATGGGATCCTAGGGGCTTTTGAGCTTTAGCTGAGTTTTGCAGGA